GTAAACAGTGGCGAGAACATTGTCAACGCGAGTGGTAAGAGCTTACTATTTGGTGTTGTTGGCGGGAACAGTGGTGTACGCGCTGAGCAAGGACGCGAAGTAAGGAAAAAAAAATTCCTTACACATATGAAGTATTGAAGGCCGTCTATGAAAACATATTCAAAAAAATTAACGAGCCCAATAATTCGTAGGTATAGCTTAATGTTTTGATTTGAACACGAAATCTGGCGGGAGTGGGATCGATTCTTGCAAGGTTTCCTTTGTTTCCACTTCAGTTATCCCATGAATGTTTCCTCGCTGTCTGGAAACTCATACGAAATATAACCAGTGTTCTGAAAAAAACATATGAGTATAAACGCCTTGTCTGAGCTCTCATATGAGCTACATTTTTCTGTCTGCGAAAACATATGAACAACAAAAATGAGTTTGAGATCTAAACCAACAGACTAAATTAGTTTAATAACGAGTGCCCTGAGGGCAACTAGTGCTGCTCGACACGAAGAACCTTCACCTATCCGGCTCGTCAAAATAACGGCCACGGTTTTGTGGGCCTTTCAAGATCATCCAAATGGTGTCACCTGTCACCACGAAGCTGCTGCTACCGGACGATTGGCGTATACACGACGCCTTCCATGTCAGCCTCCTTCGAAAGTTCGTGCCTGCCACGACCGACATAGCATGCCAGAATGTCGCCCTGACAGCACAACCTGTCGAACAACCGACACTGAACTCGTCATGATTTTGGCACATCATGTTTGGCTTGATGCATTTGGACACCACATGGATTATTTAATCTGTTGGACTGACCGCACAAGTGAAGACGACACTCGCGTGCCATCTGCCTCGCTTGACAATCCCCGCTCATTGGTGATTATCTCGCCTGCAAGCGAGCTGTGGTTATTGACCACCATTCTTAAAGAGGGGGAGGGGATAGTGTAAGGAATTCTCCTGATTTTCGGGCTTGACTGCTACGCGTACAACCCCAATTTTTAGACTTGCACGTTCGGCCGACATACATAATGGCGAGGATCCTCGCATTGCCTTCGGTGCATTGTCAGTTCATTGAGTCACATCTTCATTACTCGTTTTTCTGCCTAATCTCTTTTACAACTCATAACAATGGTAGTTAAGTCCGCGAAGTGAAATCTTGAACTGCCGAGAGCTTATTCAACATCGAGTTTGAGTTCGAAATTTCTCGGTCAGGACGCACAGGTCCGTCAAGGCTGTGAAGAATGAGGAATAAATAAACAACGAAAGAGGTGGGTACAAGTAGGAAAACCAAGAAATGTTGAACCCCATATTGTCTACCCCACTATAGCCTACACAAACTATAGCATATAAGTTTGACACACCCCCATAGGCAAAGTGGGGGAGAACAAGAGGTCACAAGACCAGTCAAGCAAAGCAAAACAAGCTCAGGGTGGATCACAAAGACACCACACAGTCCGCGCACAAGAGTAAGGCCACAAGGCCAGTTCACATGCAAGATCATATACAAAGGTAAACAGGCAAGTGCAGGTATAGAAAGATCACAGTACAAGCAAGGTCAACAAGTGAGCAAATGAGGCCAAAAAGGCACAAGACCTAGCATCGTACAGAAGCGTTGATGATCACCAGGCGGAAGTGCCTTGATAAAGATATCAGTAGTGTTGGTCTGAGAGGCCACGTAAGCAAGGCGCAGCTGACCACGCTGCTACAGCTCACAAGCAAGGAAGTAGCGAAGAGCAATGTGCTTCGTTCGGTGCTCCAGTCTGTGCTCCCAACACAAGGCCAGCATGGCCTTGTTGTCTACCTACAAAACTGGAGGAGAACGAGGCGGCTCTCCTAGGTCACTCAGCAGGTAGGTGAGCCAGCGTAGCTCCTGTGCAGCCATGGCCCCCGCGTAGATCTCAGCCTCACAGCTGGAGCCGAGAACAGAAGACGAGCGGGTAGACTGCCACGAAACACATCCATAGCCAAGGCTGAAGGTATAACCCTGTGATGACCGCTGCGTAGCCTGGTCATCAGCCCAAGAAGCGTCTGCGTGCCCAGTGAGGACCACTAGACTCTGCCCTCCAACCACTAGCCCCATGCCCGACGTACTGCACAAGTAGCGCAACACCCTCTTCGCTGCAGCCATGTGCTCTGGTCGGTGTCTCCCAGGAGCAACATAGCGTGCAAGAATGCTACGGGGGTATGCAAGGTCAGGTCGTGTGCAGGTCATCAGGTACATGGGGCAGCCAACAAGCTCTGGGTACGAGCCACTCGACTCTACGGACTCATCCGAAGGCAGAGCTGAGAGCGAGTGGCGAGTAGACAGAGGAGTGGCTTGAGGCGAGGAGTACGTGAAGCCGAAGCGCTGAAGGACCTGCTGCACCATCTGTGACTGAGTCAAGGTAATGGTGCGCTGTGCTTTGTCCCGACTGATCTGCAAGCCATGGTAGCTGCGCAGTTCACCCAGGTCTGTGCACGTGTGTCTCTTCTGCAGCTCGGACTTCACGTGGGCGAGTCCAGCAGTGTCAGCAATGGCAAAGACCAAGTCGTGGACGTACACCAGGATGTAGAGGACCACTCAACGTCGCCCTCCAAGCACTAGCCCCATGCTCGACGTAGTGCACAAGTAGCACAACACCCTCTTCGCTGCAGCCATGTGCTCTGGTCGGTGTCTCCCACGAGCAACATAGCGTGCCAAGATGCATAGAGGGTATGCAAGGTCAGGTCGTGTGCAGGTCATCAGGTACATGAGGCAGCCAACAAGCTCTGGGTACGGGCCACTCGGCTCTACGGACTCATCCAAAGGCAGAGCTGAGAGCGAGTGGTGAGTAGACAGAGGAGTGGCCTGAGGCGAGGAGTACGTGAAGCCGAAGCGCTGAAGGACCTGCAGCACCATGTGTGACCGAGTCAGGGTAACGGTGCCCTGTGCTCTGTCCCGGCTGATCTGCAAGCCATGGTAGCTGCGCAGTTCACCCAGGTCTGTGCACGTGTGTCTCTTCTGCGGCTCTGACTTCACGTGGGCGAGTCCAGCAGTGTCAGCAATGGCAATGACCAGGTCATGGACGTACACGAGGATGTAGAGCGGCGTCAAAGAGGTGTTAGTGGGCAGAAACAGCGACGTGTTGGCTGTAGAAGGAGCAAACCCAAGAGCCGCAAGTGTAGTCCTCAGTGTGTCGTGCCACTCACAGGGCGCCTGGCGGAGACTGTAGACTGGCCGCCGGAGGCTCTACTGGGTACCAGGAGGAAACGACCCAGTGAAGCCAGGTGGGCGGCGTAGCCAGATCTCCTCGTGCAGGCTGCTCTGCAGGAAAGCTGTGCTCAAGTCAGGAGAGTGAAGCTCGTAGTCGCGCTAAGCGGCTATGTGCAGCAGCACCCGAAGAGTGGTCATCTTCAGGGTGGGAGATAAGGTCTGAAAGTAGTCAACTCCCTACCACTGACTGAAGCCTCGAGCCACGTAACGCGCCTTGACGACAGGCGGAGAACTCGGCGGCCGCTTTACCCTGAAAATCCACATGCCACTGACAATGTTCGCCCCAGGTGAATGAACCTTGTTGACGTAGGTGCCTGTGGACTTCCAGGAAGCCATCTCTGCGTCCATGGGTGATGGCCACTGAGACGAGTAGGGACACTCGATCGCCTCAGCGTACGATTGAGGAGTCAGGATGTCTAATGCATCCAGGTCTTTTTCAGAGGCAATCAGCATAGACACGAGATGAGGCAAAGCAACAGAAAAACACTGGAACTCCGCCTGCCTGTCCTCAAGGACGTCCGTGCTAAGAGCACACTCACCCCCGACGGACGGAGAACTGTCAGACTCAGACTCAGCAACAAGACTAGCAGCGTAGTCTAGACGACAGCGAGCAGCAAAGTCGACAAGCTCAGCAAGAAGGGCAGATGCAATAGTGGACTCAAAGGAAGGGTAAGTGACAACAGTAGCCAAGAGACGCGTGACAGTAGGACTGGCAGCATGAAGAGAGTCAGACTACGGGTCAGCAAGAGTAGGAGGAGAGGACTCTGGAGGAGACGGCAACGGGCCACGCAGAGGAGCAGTGGAAGGACGCAGTGCTCGGGACCGGAGGAGGACGCGGACGCGGAGCACAACTACTTTCGCGAGCAGCACGAACAGGCGACGCAGGACGAGACGCAGACTCACAACGCTCAGCAAGACCTCAAGTAGGACCAGTGTAGGGAGAAGGAGCAGGCACGGGGGAGGTGGGCTGTAACAGTGACCGTGACTAGACAGGATGTGGACACTCTAAGGGAGGAGCAGGACCAGTGGAGGGCGCGAGAACAAGAACCTCCTCAAGGAGCGGAACAAAGTACGGTCGCGGCCGCGCTGCGCCTCCACAACCAATAGGGAGAGCACTAGTACCCCCAGCGGCAACACCAGCGCCAACAGTACCTCCAGCTCCAACAGCGCCAACCCCAGCACCCTCAGAAGTAGCAGCGCCAGCACTACCACCCGTGCCAACACCCGCAGCAGCTCCGGCTCCAGTAGCTCCAGCACCTCCAGCTCCAGCAAGACAGTCAGCTCCACTACCGCCAGCACCTTCAGGAGTACGTCCACCAGGACCAACTCTAGCAGCCCCAACAGCACCCCAAGTCCCAGCAGCTCCAGTACCATCAGTAAGAGCACCTCAAGGACAAGCAGCAATAGTAGCACCTCTAGCTCCAGCAGCACGCCTCAAGCGTCGGGCAAACCACTCGCGCAGCTCCTAAGGAGAGAGTAGCTTCCGCCTCGACGAAGCACTGCGAGAGGCCACACAAGCAGACCTAGCACCCCCAGGCTCTGCACCCCCAGGCTCAGCACCCCCAGACTTAGCATCCCAAGGCTCAGCACCCCCAGACTCAGCACCCCTAGGCTCAGCACCCCTAGACTCAGCACCCCTAGGCTCCGCACCCCTAGACTCAGTACCCCCAGGCCCCGCACCCCCAGGCTCAGCACCTCCAGGCCCGGCACTCGCAGGCTCAGCACCTCTAGCAGCACCAGAGTCAACAGCTACCTCGTCAGGCTCGACTGTGTCTACCTAGGACACACCTGACGGGGCAGGACCCTGAGGGGGGAGGGGGTCTACCGGGGGAGGACCTGGCGCAAGGAAGAGCGGCGGCGGGGGGAGGGGTGCAGTGCGGTAGGGGAAGAGACGGTAGTAAGGCACCGACTCGTCAAAGGTGACGTCCTCGGAGGACAGAACACTGCGCGAGGTGGGGTGGTAAAACTGCCACCCAGGCGTATCGCGGGGGAAGCCAAGGAAGACGTAGGGAACAGCACGGGGGGACAGCTTGTCTGCAGACAAGTCGCGGACAAACGCCCGAGATCCCCAGACCCGAAACGCAGACGCATCGCCAACCTTCCCCGTCCACCGCAAGGTGGGGGGGGTCTCTGGCAAGGAGACCCGGGGCTGAAGGTTGAGCTGATGCCCTGCACACTGAAACGCAAACGGCCACAGAAAATGGGGGGCAAACGCATGGATCACGGACGTACGAGCGACGTCCATGGCCATGCCAATGCGGCGCTCAGCAGTCCCATTTTGCTGTCGAGAAGCCGGAAGCGTGAAGGTCTGGCGGATGCCCTGTGCACGACAGAAGGCTCCCAGACGGGCAGAGGAAAACTCCCCGTCCCTGTCAGAGTGCAGACGCAGAACACGAAAGTCCGAGCCAAAACTTGCTCTGAGCTGGAGACGAGCTGCGCAGATCCAGTCGATCAACACCTTAGTGACGTCACCCTTGCTGCGCAAGTGGAACATCGTCATGTAACGCGAGTAGTCGTCAACCACCAACAGGAAGTAACGCTTGTGACCCTGGCCACGGACGCGGGCAGTGCCACACACGTCCATGTGAAGAGTCTCGAGCGGAGCCTCTGTCGTAGGAAACTCAGAGGAGTGAGGGGCGGCACGCTGCTGCCCCTCGATGCAGGGAACGCAGGTAGGGCAAGGCCCCGGAGGTAGGGGAGGGAGAGACCGGGGGAGACCATAGACAAGGACACGGGAGGCCATGCCTTGGAGACGAGGCAGGGAGGGGTGACCAAGACAGTGGTGCCAAAGGAGAGTCTGGTGGGACAGGAGACGACACGAGCAGGGAGCAGACTCAGGACCAGACCTGGACACTGCAGCAAACACCTGACTCGACGCAGCTACCTGACCAGACTCAGCAACCGCAGGGGACTCAGTAGTCAGTATGTACAGGCTCGACCCCGGCCCACGGGTAAACGTGGCCAAGTGTCGGCCCGTCCGAGCACACGTACAGTGGGTCACCCGCTGACTCGCAGGAGTGAACTGGTCAACCCCCCTATCCTGTAGATCAGCTCCACTCACCAAGTTCGTAGAGAACGAGGGGAGGTAGAGACCTGACAGGGTGCTAGAGGGGGCTATCGGACACGGTAAGACAATGGAGAAGCTAGCAAAAACCTAGACCCCCAGAGGGGTCCACGAGGGAGACCGCAACCGGCCGACTAAGCGGCGTAAGCGTGGTGCAGTCTCGAAAGAAGGAGCGGGAAGCACCTGAGTCAAGGGTGAATGTGTGTACGGTCTGAGCCGACGTGGTACCTAAGAGACCAGACTCACCAGCACTTGGGGCAGCAGACGCACTAGCACCTAGAGCAGCAGCCTCACCAGCACCTAGAGCAACAGCCTCAATGCCCGGGTCAGGCGGAACACACAGGTAACAGTCACCCTCATCACTAGTAGACACAGCATACATGGCAGCAAGAATAGCATCATAATCAAGATTAAAGATAGCAACCCCCGCCCTAGACAGCTCTCCCCAGCGAGGGATCTCAGTGGCGTTAGGGAATTGGTGACGCACGCGTCCGTCAGGCGGCCTAAGCAGCGCTAGGTGGAGTGCGGGCCCCCGCACTGCTCACCAGTGTGGTCGCCGGTACAGAGGACGTAGGTGCAGGGACCAGTACCCCCACCTTGCTGATGCTCAGCGTACCACTCACGAAGCAGCTCGGGGGACAGGGTCTCACGACTGCGCTGCTGCTGCTGGCGCGGACCACCACTGGAACCACTCCTGTGCGTGGAGCCGCGACCAGCTCCATCGTCGCCGCTGCCGCCGCCACCTCCGCCGCCTCCGCCACCTACGCCGCCTCTTCTCCCTCCGCCACCGCCGCCGCCTCCGTCGCCTCCACTACTGCCACCGACACCTCCACCCCCGCCACCACTCCCACCACCACCCCCACCCCCTCCACTACCTCCACCACCACCTCCACCGCCCCCGCCAGCCCCTCCAGCGCCCTTGCCCCCCTTGCCCTTGCCAGAGCGGCGTCTCACGCTAGGGGCAGACGCAGCGCCCACCGATTCGAAGCCAACAAGGTCGGCCACAGCATCAGAGGCAATAGAGGGCAAGAGGGGGGAGGGGGAACACCCCTTAAAGACGGGGGTGCGAGGGTCACCGCGAGAGGCTCCTACAGCGACTATGCTCTTCTCTGCTGCTAGGAGGCACTCCTCAAGGAGGTCAATGGTGAGTGTGGTGGGGCAAAGTGAGAGGAAGTGGTCCCTAACTAAGCGAAGGGAGTCAGGGAGCCGAGTGACTATATAGTAGAGGGTGATGTACATAAGGGGGGGGGGGGGGGGGGGGGGGGTTCTTGGCGCAGAACTCAGCAGGAAGCACATCGCGATAGCGAGTGTCACTAGTGCGAAGGTGCGTAATGAGGTCAGCGACTGTGGGAAAGGCAGCAAGGTCAGGGAACAGGTACAACAGCATGAGGTGGCTAAGAGCAGCAGTGGCAGGGGAAGAGTAGCGTGCAACTACAGCGTCGTACAAGGTCTGAGCACTCTTGTACTGACTAACGTGCGCACGCTCAGTGGTCGGTAAGTGGCGACGCACAGCAAGACGGGAAGCAGCATTGCGTGTGGCCCACTGTGAGCGAACAGTGCTGTCAGCATCAGTAGGCGGGGCAGGAGAGGCACCGGAGGTGAGATCGAACAGGGAGAGTCCGTCTGCCCTATCGCACTGTGGGAACAGTTGGAGGTCATCGACCCAGACCTCAAAGTCAACAGCACGACCCTTAGCATCAAAGGTAAGGACACTGGGGGTAGCCGTGACAGCGCTGGTATAGCAGGGAGTGATCTCACCAGTCCGAGTGAGTAGGGCCGGGGCGCGCCGGTAGGAACAGGACTGTAACCGCGGTGGCAGCGGCTCTGCAGTGACAGTAGCGGCTTGACGGTAGGGCGGCTCGGCGGCTCGGCTGCTGGGCGGCTCGGCGGATCGGCTGCTGGGCGGCTCGGCGGCTCGGCTGCTGGGCGGCTCGGCGGCTCGGCGGCTTGGCTGCTGGGCAGCTCGGCGGCTTGGCTGCTAGGCTGCTGGGTGGCTCGGATGCTCGGGTGCTGGGCGGCTCAGCGGTGACGGGACTGCTAGGGGCGGCGACGGGGCCGCGAAGGGCGACGACGTGGCCGCGAGGGTCGGCGACGGGGCCGTGAAGGGGCCGCAAGGGGCCTAGAGGGGTGGCGACGGGGCCTAGAGGGGCGGCGACGGGGCCGCGAAGGAGCTGCGAGGGGCCTAGAGAGGCGGCGACGGGGCCTAGAGGGGCGGCGACGGGGCCGCGAAGGGGCCGCGAGGGGCCTAGAGGGGCGGCGTCAGGGCCGCAAAGGACGGCGATAGGGCCGTAAGGGGTGGCGATGGGGCCACTAAGGGTGGCGCAAGAGGCCTCTAGGAGGGCGCGACGTGAGGGCGGCCTACGGGGCGCGCCTTGGGCAGGAAAAAATAGTCGAGTTCAGAGGTGGGCCTTGAGAAGCGTTCCCACGAGGGAACCTGCTCTTTACCATGTGAAGAATGAGGAATGAATCAACTAGGAAAGAGGTGGGTACAAGTAGTAAAACCTAGAAATGTTGTACCCCATATTGTCTACCCCACTACAGCCTACACAGACTATAGCATATAAGTTTGACAGAGGCAGTGAAATCTCGAGACTCGTAAATGGGCGAGCCTGGACCCTTTACAGGGCACAGTGCCAAAGTGCGGAAAACCAGAACTTAGGAGTACAATGCATTTTTGTGCAGTAACTCCCTGTTACTTACTTAGGCAAGATGCAAACCGATTTGAAAAAAACGGCTCCGTAAGTTGCAACATTTGCAACACATGGGAGATGTCTATAAGCGCCAGTGACGTCACGACTAAACATGAGCATAGTGATCCTCAACCGTGCTGCTCATGGACTTTAGTATATCGAAATGACATTTTCCATGTTATTCATTTGGATGCTTAGGCTACAAGAGAGTCTGAGAAACATTACGGGGTTGGTTTATCGGATACAACGATCATGTCAAGAGTGATGAACGTCGACAGCGGTATGACAGCCTAGTTTTTTTTATTGTGAGGACGTAGGAAGGCCGTAGAGTCTCGAAAATGGCGACCGCTCGAGTTATCTCTTGCGTTGGTTACACTGGTCATGTCAAGGGTGATGAACAATACCTAGCAATGACACTCCATGCGGAGCTGCGGGAGGAATTATATCGCCTCCACCTTCTCTCGTGCTTTCCAACGATAGGAGCCCCGCCCGCACCGCATGCCGATGCAATGTGGTCGAGATTCGACACTAGCACCACCACCATTCCATTCGGGTAAAAGGCTCGACATGCATGGGTGTGCAAGGCAAACGGATGACAGGTGGGGTGAGAAAGCGTGCACTGCGATTGATTGATGGGTGATAGGTGGCACGTCGCCTCTTGCATGAATGACTCACGGCACCGCCAATCAAAACATGCCTCCCGTGTCCTCCCTTCTGTCCTCCCTCCCTCCTCATCTGCTGCCTTCTCCCTATTCCTCCTTCGCTTGCTCTCAGAAATAGATTCAGCTTCTACATATTTCCACCTGTTTTCGCTCAGAAAGCTCGTGAGCATACGTCCTCTCCGTTCCCTCTTGCGGCGTTGATCTTCCTCACCACCTTTCTCTCCCCTGGCTGCGAAGCTTTCTCAATCTTTTTACCTATATTTCTTTACATAGTTCCCTAGTACATCCTATTTTCTAGCCATAGGAACTAGTTTGACCTCGTTCGCACAACTACACAGCACGTGGTGGGCCCTTTTGACCTTAGGTCGGAGTGAATTAAAATGACTGAGATTATTAAAACACGCAAATATAATCGTTTATATTAGAGTACAAGGGAATATGAAACGACCTAGACTAGCGATGTACTGTAAGGGGTACATTCTCTTATTGCAGCAAATCCCAATCGATCCGAACAGTTACGAACCTGTTCCCGCCACAATCGTAGCCATTGCAACTGCCCGATGCTTCTGTTCCGACGGTCCAGATGCTACGTAACCTGACGCGACTCTTCGTCAATTCATCATTCATAACACATCTTGCCTAGGATCACCACAGGAAGGTTCGCGCAGAGTAAATTGCAGCGGAATTATTAATCTAATGTCAGAGTGAGTATAAAATGACTGAGAATATCATAACAAACACATAGATAGGCTTATACAATGGGAATGCACAGCTATATTTACTATTCCTAACAACAATTGTGTGACTGGACCACAATTCATTGAAATGAATCTGGCAAATCATTGATTGACAAAAGGTATCAAGAGAGTTCAGTGAACAACACGTTATACAAATGGCAAATATTTACTTAATAGATTGTACAGCATTCTACAAATGATTCACGAGGCTGGTTTGAAGCTCGGCCTAGAAAGGCTCGGGAGGTTCGGGTTCGCTAGCTGGAAAGCTGCGTTCCGCAACTTCAAGCTCGAACCTTGGGCTGGTTGCACGCCAGCTTCAAAACCTGCCCTCAACCTGCGCTCAACTTGCGGCAACGTACCGCGCACCTACACTTCACTTACCCTAAACCTGCGCCATAGCAATGAGGTGCAAACGTAGGCTTTTCAGAACCTACGTCACACACACTTGTGAAACAGACTAGCTCTGACTACTGGAGGTCTGGAAACTTGGCTGGAAAGTCTTAGCAGGGCTGCTGGAATTGACTGGATGAGGTAAAACTTCACTATGTTTAAGATTAACAAGCCCACTAAAGCACAACTCTATAGGCATCACAAACAAGACAGATTGAAAGCTCAAACTAGGCTGATAGACAATGTAACTTCCCTGGTAACTTGGGCATAATCTAGATTGGATGGACCTTGAGTGACTTTGGGTGCCACATGAGGTGCATGAATAAGAAAACTCTGAATATTTCTGTTATAGCTGATTCTGATGTGTAGAAACCTGTAGAAACTGCCAACACTTAGGTTTGAAGGCAGCTTTGAACTGTATCGAGTCTTCGGCTGAAATCTGATTGGTGGTGGAACTTTCGAAGTACTTCCTGAAGCCTCTGATTCATCGCCGACATTCCCCCTTGCTGCTGCTTGTGTGCAAAGGGCTGGGGCGGCAGAAACTCGATTCTCCAACACTCCCCCTCGCACCAGACCCGAAGCACACATACACCCATGCTGATGCTCCTTTCACATCTCCTTAGCATACACTTCATGCTGCTGCCCACGTCTCTTCCCCTCACACTCCTCATTCTCCTCAAACTGCTCCACTGCTTCATGAAGTGTCATGAGGCCTGCTCTTGCCTTGCACATGTTGAATGCATCATCTTGAAGAACCTTGGTCATGAAATCTGCTGCTTGATCAAATGAACGGCAAAAGTTGATGGCGAGAACTCCCTTCTCTAGTTGCTCACGAATGAAGTGGTACTGCACCTTGATGTGTTTTGTACGCCCATGATGAACCGGGTTCTTGGAAAGAGCTATGGCTGAAGTGTTGTCCACGTAGAGCGGAGTTGGTTGAGTTTGCGGCCGCCTCAAGTCCTCCAAGAGTCCACGTAACCAGATTGCCTCCCTTGCTCCTTCGGTCATTGCCATGTACCCAGCTTCAGTTGTTGAAAGTGCCACACAACTTTGCTTGCGTGATTGCCAAGAAACAGCGGCACCACACATGAGGAAGATGTAGCCGCCGGTAGACTTGCGTGTGCTCAATTCTCCCGCCCAATCTGCATCGGTAAAGCCTTGGAGGGAGCTTGCATGTGGGCTGGCTTGGAAGAGAAGACCATGATTAGAAGTACCTTTGAGATACCGAAGAGCTCGCTTGGCTGCATGCATATGAATAGGTGAAGGGGCACTCATGTGTTGAGCTAGCTTAGATACCGTGAATGCTAGGTCAGGCCTTGTGCATAGGGCTGCATACATGAGACACCCAACCTGACTTCGGTAGAGAGCTAGGTCTTGTGGGGGTACCTTGGTGAAGTTTCACCATGATGCTCACTCTCCTCAAGACACAACTCCTCAATGCCCGTGATGTCAAGGCTTGACTCCCTCTCTTCATAGGGCTGATGTGATGACAGAGGGACAAAGTTGGAAGGAAGCGGGGTAGGTGATGGCTTGCTATCATCAAGACCAAACCTCTCAAGGACCTTTTAGATGTACCTTTGCTGGAATAGGAAGATGGACCATGACTTACGATCTCTCACAATGTTCATACCAAGATAATGACTTGGCTCACTAAGATCGGTCATCGTGAATGCACTTGTGAGAATACCTTTCACCTTGTTGAGAAGATCAAGCGAACCTGAGACTAGGAGGAGGTCATTGACATATACCAAGAGCCAAATGTACTCCCCCTCACTCGTGTGCATGAAGTACAGAGCATTGTCTCTCATGGACCTTGT